GCGGGAGTGACAAACCGTGGGGTCCTTATCTCTGCTGACACACACACACACACACACACACAGCAGAGAGGGTTTGGAGTCGTTAACTACCGCGGAAGTGACAAACCGTGGGGTCCTTATCGCTGCTGACACACACACACACACACACACACACACACACACAGCAGATTAACTACCGCGGAAGTGACGAACCGTGGGGTCTTTATTTCTGCTGACTGCTATCTTCAAATAATCATAACTCCGCGAAAAAAAATCGTACAGACCTCGGCGACATCGCGTTGTTTTCGTCTCGGAAATCCCTTTCAAACGAGCCTCTACTTAACCCCACATGCCATTTAAGATTTTTTAGCTTCTCCATCCCCGCGTCCCCCGGGTGTGTCAAGGTGGGTGTTTTTGTGGTTAAATAATAGAATTTGTGATCCCATTGTATCCCTATAAATTTCAATCCTATATTTTAAACCGTTCACAAATTATTTAGGTGGCCCCGAACTTTCGGAAGGCACTGTATATAGTCTACATGTGCCATAACTAGCGCAAATATATAATTTTTCAAAAATTCTTAAGAAACAAATTTAGTTTAAAAAGAGTAATAAAATTTCGAATTGGATATGCGAATATAATTTTTTCTTAGGGTCACTTCGACCAACGCCGATTAACTTTAATCGACGATTAACTCAATCAGCAGTGTCGCCAACAACAAGATATTTGTCGCTGTGTATGTCGTTCTTAACCAATCTTTTTAAATATTATACCAGTTCTCTTTAATTTGTATAAAGCTGTTTCGATTTTTATTTAAAATATCTACGAAAACGTGTTTATGTAACATATGGATAGAATATTATTAAATTTTTTATTATTTGATGAATACGAGGGTTATGATCTTCCAATAAGAAGAAATCGACGAAAACCACGTATAATCAGGCTACGTATAAATTATTTAGAATTTTTTGATGATGATCATTTTAAAAGAAGATTTACAATATTATAACAAAACTTTAACATAATATTAGAAAAAAATTATGCTGAATCATAACATAAAACTAATCGGTATGTATAAATATTTAATACAACAATTTAAAATTATATATAATATAATAAACAAGACAAAGCCGGTCGGACGGTTGGAGCGAACAGACGGCTCATGGAAGAAAGCGCAGTGAAACCGGAGTAAAAGAAAGGAAAAGGAAGGAGGCCCTCGGGGGAGCGATGGGAGCGACGGAGAAAACATAGAGGAAGAAGAGAAATTGAAGGGAACATGCGGAACAGTCAGTGAAGCAAGAACGAGAGGACCCAAGAAGGAAGAGACGTATAGGTTAGGACTGGGGAAGGAAGCGGAAGGAGGGGAAGAGAACGATGGAGACGGAAAGTTGCGCAGGCGTGCTGGCGAGATTGCGACCGGAAAGTGGCAGCGCAAGATGAAAACGGTGAGAGGAGATGGCGCCGACTGCGGCCGAGACGACGCGAGGTGCTGGCCCCTCCAAAAGAGCGGGTTGGCACCACTGCGGGGCGTCGAGGAGCAGCAACGGCACAGGCACGAGCGACGGGCGCACGCGCAGAGCGAGGCCAGGAGGAGAGACAGGACGGCGCTGGGAGCGAGCAGGGCTGGCAGGCCTGAAGAGGTACGATCGAAACGAGCGTACGAGCGGAGTAGGGCCGGGAGGGGGAACAGGACGGCACGGAGAGCGAACAGGGCTGGTACGGGCCGAGAAGGCGCACGCGCAGAGCGAAGACAGGAAGAGAGACGGGACGGCGCTGAGAGCGGGCAGGGCTGGCAGACCTGAAGGAGAAGTGATGAAGTAGGCGCACTGACGGAAAGCGTGGAAGGCAAGAAAAACATAAGCGAGAGGTTAGAAGTAGAAAATGAGAAAAAGGAACGTATTGAAAGAGAGGCAGACGGAAAGTAAGTGAATAATGTAGATAAAAAGGGCAGAGAAAGCGGGAAGGAAGGATAGAGGCAGGTAATGACAGAGGGACAGTCATAAGCACTAACAATTTCAATGCAGTGACAGGAAAGGAGAGGACGACGAGGACCGAGCAGAGGATGGAAGACACGGACTGGATAAAGGAAGTTATAAAGGAAATAAGGGAGGTAGGACAGAAAATCGAGCGGCAGACCAAAGAAATCAAAAAGGAACTGAAAGAGATGAGAATACAAATAGAAAGGCTGGAGAAACGACAAAGGCAGAGCGAAGAGAGTGAGGGGCAGGATGAGACAGAGGAAATAGGATCGGATGAGAGCAGTGAACGAAGGGAAGAAGAAACGAAAGAGGTGAGGGAGTACAGCGACGGAGCGGTAAGGGGGAAGAGGGCAGTAAATGAGGAAGAAGAGAGTGACGTAGAGGGATGGAACGAGGGAGGATGGGGAGAAAGTTGGTGGAATGAGGTAGAGAAAGAGAGGAAGAAAAGGAAAATGAGAAAAGGAAGAGGAAGGAAGAGGCAAAAAGAACAGAGGCCAGAAAGAGAGATGATGGATCAAATAAAAGAGAAGAGGATAGAGACTATAAAGAAAGAAATGAGGCCAGGAGAGATAAAAACGAGAGAGAAGCCAGAAACAAAGAGGAGGAAAGCAGGCGCGAGAAGGAAAAAGCGCGACGAATAGCAGAAGACATGGAGGAAGATGTAAGAAGAAGAAGAGAAAAGAAAGAAAGAGAGAAGGAGCAGAAAGCAGAGAAAGAAAAAAAAGAGAAAGAGCAAAGAAAGAAAAGAAAAGTAATATGGAAAAAAGTAAGAGGAGAAGGTCCGAGGGAAAGAAGAGAACTAGTGAAGATAATAATGGAAAAGGTGACAGGAAGAATAATCCCGGTAAGAGGAGTAGTAGAGGCAATTGGAGCAGATAAGAACGAATTGATGTTTATCGAGCTAGAGGAAGAAGAGGACAAGAAAGAGATAATTGAAAAAAGCGGGGAAATATAGAGGAGATGGGAAGTGGGGGTAGATGAGGAACTTTCAATGGAAGAGAGGGTATATAGACACAAGCTGGTGAACAAGGCAAGAGAGGAAAGAGCGAAAGGAAGATCGGCAGTACTAACGAACAGAAGGCTGTGGATTGACGGGAAAGAGGTGAAATGGGACGAAGAGGGAGAGAGATGGAGGAGGATGTAAACCGCCAAGGAGGAAACCAAGGAAGCAATGAATGGAATCAGAAGGAACGAGAGGAAGGAAGTCGAGGAGGAAAACGCGAGAGGAAAACCTGGAAGGAAAAGGAGGAAGGAACTGAAGAGGAAAGTTACAGGAACCAGAAGGATCGGAGGAAAAAGGGGGAGGAACGAGTTAAGGGGGGCATCTTGGATTGTATAGAGTCAATTATTCAATAATAATATTGTAAATTTTTAATAGACGATATGCATCAAACGCAACACCGCAATATGAATGTCCATTGTAAAAATCCGAAGATTGATAGTAAGAAATGTATAAGTGGACCCCTTTCTTTGGATTGTATAGAGTCAAACAGAGGCCAGGCTAGGAGAGCAGAAGTTATGTAACGGTTTGGGTACGTTCCGTAAAAACGCCTTGTAAAACCGAGAGGTAATTACAATAAAGTGAATATATTAATAAACAAGACAAAATAAGTTTATTATAAAAAAATAAAGAATTTTATAACATACTATGAGAATGCATATATGTATTCTGTCAGATTATTTTAATTTATTATAATTAATATTCTCTCAGTTCTGTGAATAGTATATTATAACAACACAAATTAGATTATTAACACACACATATACATATGTATGTAATTAAATAAATAAATAAATATGTGTATATATACATACATATACATATATATATATATATATATATATATACATATATAGAGTGCCGAGTATTTGCATACGTTGCAAGGAAGAAACAAGTGGAGGATCAACAAGAGTCAACAGTTAAGGGTAGATCAAATCAGGCTATTAAAACAGCAGGGCCTATCTCCTATGCAGTGGCTAATCGGTCGAATAGAGAAAACACACGCGGGTCTAGATGGACAAGTGCGAACTGCTACGGTTAGAACGGTGTCAGGAAAATTTGTAACTCCGCTAACAAAAATCGCGATATTACCCCTCAATAATTAGTACAGCTTTTCACAGTTCTTATGCTTGCTATGTTTATTATTATTAATCACTACCTTATAATTAGACCTTAAGATAGAATTACAAGTTAGAAGTAAGGCATGCATTGGTTCTCATAACGCATTGTTTACGTGCGATCATCATAAGATGTGTCTACCCTTTTTTATTTTATTTTATATATGCAACATGCTAAATATTGTTACTTTCATTTTTTTGTCTTTGTTTATTATAGTCCAGCCCTAGCGGCGAGAGCAACAGACTCATTAGCCGTGTCCGATTATTATTAGGACCCTAATCGTTATTTAGGATTGTATTGAAAGCGTGTCCTTTCAAAGCGAGGCAGGATGTTAAGAATCCCACGCGGTATTCTTATGCGTATATCGACCGCGATACTTCGCGGATAAATTAGTGGGCTTTCAGGGCGCTATCGATCGCCCTGGGGTTATCGACCGCGCGTTACCACGCGGTACTTCCGGCGCTTAACGCAGGAGAAACATTTTCACACTTCACTTCCACAAGGATCGTCAAACAATCGTCTCAAAATTGTACTCGTGGACAAATAAATTACGTTTATTGGAAATTAAGAGGGAACAGTTATTTTCCCTCGACCACGTAGCTTCGAAGCATTCTTCCCGTGGCACACACATGGTGGGTAACAGACCCGGCGTATCAAGACGCTACAGAACATTTTGGTTTTTTGAGCCGGATAACAAGACGTCCGCCATTGTCTGCGAGGCCCTTTCGATCTTTCGAGACGGAGGACAGTCCACGACACGAAGCATCCCACGAGGCTTCATACGGAGAAGCAAAATCTTACAACAGGATGTTAAAGGCATTTAAGAGTCCGAGCTCGTAATCTCATCGGCGAGCTACGATCCTCGCGTGCGCTGCGACGGCTGCATTGGCGCGTCCCAAAGAAATTTCCACGAGGCCGTGCGAGACCACCAGGCGGAAGCGGTATAGCATTCGCACCGTTGCAAGCATCGAGAAGGGTCTTTAAAGGGCGGCGATCTCCAAGGACGGCGCTTCCCGTACGAAGAGGACAGCGGGCTCGCGGAGAGACAAGGACAGCGCGCTTGCAGAGAGAGAAGGACGGCACACAGTGGGGCGAACGCCTCATTTTTCGGTCATTTGCTTATAACTTCTACATTTTTCAATGAAATGACTTGAAACTTGACATAAATAATGTACGATTATTATACATTTAGTGTATAAAATCAAAATTATTTAATTAACAATTTTTCATAAAGCGCATAGATAATTTTTTTATTTTTTAAATACTTTTTAGTTTTTTTAAGTCGGTTCTATTTTAAAAAAAATTTTTTATTTTATACTTTTTTAGTGCTTCATTAAATTAATATAAATAATTATTATCGCATATTTTCTTACTGCTTCGTACCCTGATATTTTAGCGCGATATTTTATGTACTAAAACCTTTCTGGAGAATTGCTTTATAGGACAGTGAAAACCGCATTCAAATCCGTTCAGTAGTTTTAAAGAAAATCGTAGTCATACATACATACATACACGCCGAATATAGAACCTTCATTTTTTGAAGTCGGTTAAAAAATGAAGTTAATTTGATTTTCAATGATAGTCTTAAACCTCGGAATGTTTAATTTTTGTGAGTTTTATAATAAAAAAGGAACTGTTTTTCTTGCTTCTCACATCTATTTCTTGAACTTAATCATCATCTACATCATTATCGCTGAAATATAATAAACATTTTGCATCTTCAGTTAATTCTTTCTTTTTATGTCCCATAATTTTTTGCGAATTAGATATTATTGGATCTGAAGCAATTATCAAATTATTAAAAATATCTTCATTATTTTGTATTCGCGACATTTTTCGCGAATGATTTTCTCTATGTTTTCTAAAATATTTATGGTTTGCTTCCTGAGCATCTTCAGATAATTGTCCTATTGGTACGATAGCATTTTTTATAATATCACTGTCATGAATCAATAATTTGTGGACTGAGACTGGCATGTAGTACCATGGGTATAATGATACAAATAATTCGGCAGTTCTAAAAGCATAGGATTCAAATTCCAACACGTTAATCCTATTACCGCTAGCGATTACTTGCAACAAAACTCCAAATCGAGTTATTAAGTTTTTATCTAAACCTGCGCAACCTGTAATGGCAGCTGATAATTCTGGATTAGCAAAAAAATTTTGGCCGTGTTGCCATTATTGGATGTACCTTTTCCTTGTTTCACGAAGTCTATCAAGAGACCTGCTTTTGTTCTGAAGGCAGTCTGTATCTTTTTTTTTGCTCGACTTTTCGTTTATGACTCTCATTCCTCGCTGACCAACATTTGATATTAATTTTATACGAAATATGTAATAAGCATTCAAAACAGCGAATCCAGCAATGTAACCGTAATTGTAATGTAATTGTAATCGTAACGGCTAGTTATCCATTTTGATTTCAAATTCTTCGTGAAATTTATGAATTTTTGTTTCAATGGTTTCAACGCGATTTTGGGTAATTCAGTATCAATACATGATATTATGTGGCTTATTAAAGTCTCATAATTTGATAAATCAAGATTATTTGCACGCATACAATTAAAAAGTTGACGATTCGTTCGGAAATTTTCCATTTTGCGAGTCTGTTAAAGTATAATCTTCTATATACTTTATATATTCTATATATTTTTCACTGTATCCTGAAAAGGACGCAAAGTGAATTGTATAAAACAACGACAAAAATCAAAACTTTCAAAATCAAAAAGTCTTTAATCGACTACTGATCGAGAAAAACTAACGAAAAGTTCTTATCTCCGCTGTTTTTATTTCCTCCTCCTCCCATCTCCTCCCCTCCCCTCCCCTCCCCCTTCCCTCCTTCTCGAGGAGAACGAATAATTTAACGTAGAGCAATCTTATTGGCCCATGGATTTACAGAATGCGCAGTACTCCAAATACATTTATCCAATGATATTTATCATATTGCTATTATATTAATTAATGTAATTAATTGTTATAAAATATGGATGTAATTAATTGTTATAAAATAGCAATATTTAAACAAATTATATATCCTCTTCGTCTTTCTTTTATGAGAAAATAGACATCCATATTCACTCCACATGATCGAACGTCGTCCATTGAGCTATTCATGGACGACGTTCGACTATGTCGAGTGAACTTTGAGGTCAATTATCTCAAAAAGTGGGACGAAAGGGGATGAATGATCATATATGGCCAAAAACTAGACATTTTGCCCTATTAAATGGAGCAGAGTAAACCTTAATCCATTCTAATCCACAAACTTTCTCCCTGTTTGAATATTGAAGTAAGAAATTTTTAATAGTCGAATATGTCGTGTATATTTATTAATATATAATAGTACTCAAATGACATAAAACTAAAATAAATATGTTTTTTGAACCCTAATAAATAAGTTCTGATAGGAATTTAACTCATATTCGCAGTTATACTTTCGGCGGAGACTTTAGAAAGTAACTTATCGAATTACTAGAATTTCAGTATTCACGAAAATGTCATACTTTATCAGATCATTTTGAGGAAATAACAAAGGATAAAATCAATTATAAGCACATTTATTTATAGTTTAGAATATATATTAACATAAAATCTCATCAAAATTTGAATTATACGTTTTTCATTTTTTCGTCCAATATCCGGTTTTTGATAGATTCGCCCCACTGTGCGGCATGCTCCCGGAGACAACAGGCCATCGCATCTAAGAGACAAGGATAGCGCGCGTGCGCCCCGACCGTTGCGTTAGCCGTATCAGCGCGGCATAATTGCGAGGTAAGGGAAGCTGTTTTTTCCTGTTGTGTAGTTGCGGTGCCAACCAAGGTGCCAAGGTTTTTTTTCGGTTCGATCTCGTCATTAGTTCACGTGCGTCTCGGTCAACCGAAATAGAAAATGAGTAACGAGGAGATATAGTCTCTCTCAAAAAGCGCCGATCCACAGTACGAGGCTCATGTACTCGTATTCAAACGTTCGTTGAATCAATCACTCCCGAGGCAGTTACGCCGTCGACAATAGCGCAACTCGAGGAACGCCGGCTCAAATTAGAGCGTTACTGGTCAGAGTACGAATCTATACAAACGAAAATAAAGCTATTAAATGAAAGCGAATCGGGCAATCGCGTAGGCTTTGAAGATGCTTTTTATCAATTATCGGCGCGTATTCGCGAGCTTACGAATATTCAGGCACGTCGCAGTGTGACCCAAGCTCCAGGATATCCAATGCATCCGAGTCGTTATTACAGCTAAAATTACCCAAGCTAAATTTACCGACATTTTCGGGAAACTACGAGGAATGGTTCCCATTTTTCGACACCTTTCACGCCCTTATACACACGAGCGAATCTCTAGATGACGTACAAAAATTATATTATTTACGCGCTTCCTTAACGGGGGATGCAAAAAATATTATCGGCGCGTTGGAAATTTTAGCCGTAAATTATCAAGTCGCGTGGAGGTTACTCAAGGAACGGTATGATAACAAGCGGGTAATTACTCAAAGCTATATTCGAGCTATCATGGATCTACCTTCCATGACGCGAGAGAACGCGTGCGAGATGCGTCAAATCGCGGACGGTGCGTCAAGGCACATACACGCCCTTCAGGCATTAAAAAGGCCCACGTCTCACTGGGACGATCTCCTCATTTTCTTGTTGAGCAGCAAGCTCGATACCGTATCATTGCGAGAATGGTAGAATTCGCTGATCACCGCGGAACTGCCCACATTCAAACAATTTTTGGATTTTGTAACTCATCGCAGTCAAATGTTGGAGGCCACAGGAAAATCCAATTCTACTACAGCCAAGGTTGATACGCGCTTCCCTGCAAAAACGAAACGTCAGGCTGCCTGCGCAGCATCTGTTAAGTTCAGGTGCGCCCACTGCAAGGAGGAACATTCAATATATTTCTGTCTTAAGTTCTTAGCATTTACAGTTCATCAGAGGATAGCGGAGGTACGTAAAGCTAAATTGTGCGCAAATTGTCTGCGATCGACGACCCATAACGATGGCAAATGCGTCTCTGGAGCCTGCAAGACATGCAAGATGAAACACAATACATTATTGTACCTCGACACAAGTATCGCCGAATCGCAGGGGCGGGACGAGAAGTCACAAAGTATTGAAGCGTCAACGACATCATTCACAACAGTGGTCACGCACGGTTTTAGTTATTGCTTCGACGAACATATTATGCTGGCAACGGCAGTTATCTACGCATTCGATAACAAGGAATCGCGCAAGCCATGTCGCATATTGTTGGATTCTGGTTCGCAAGCCAATTTCATCTCTAAAAGGTTCCTAGACGTACTCAATATCAAGGCGAAAGATTCTAATATTTCCATTTTAGGAATAAACAACCACTTCTTTGCAAACAGCCCAGATACAACTGCAGTCACGCATTAGCTCATTCAGCGCCAAGATCAATTGTTTCGTCACCGACAGGGTAACTGATAAAATACCTTCTTTTACTCTAAAAAGAAGCGCATTTGAAATTCCACGAAATATTGAGCTGGCCGATCCTCAGTTCCACGTATCGTCTGACATTGATGTTCTAATTGGCGCGGAGCTGTTCTGGCAGATTCTCTGCGTAGGACAAATTAAGAGCTCTCCGGAACATCCAACTCTACAGAAGACACGTTTTGGTTGGATCCTCGCGGGGCGAGCCGCACAACCATCCAAATTTACAAGGCGCATCTAGGCCTTCGCAGCGTCGATAACTAATGCCCAGCTTGACGAGCAATTTAGTCGCCTCTGGCAAATGGAGACGATAGAAAGCACAAGAAAGCTTACCACAGAAGAGCTGGCCTGCGAGCAACATTTCGTAAATACCATAGAGCGGACGGCGGAGGGCAGGTTCATGGCATGCCTTCCCTTCAAGAAGCAAGTCAACCCTAAATTTGAGAACACAAGAGGCATCGCGCTCAAACGGCTACGCGGATTAGAAAGAAGATTTACACGTGATCCGGCGTTAAAAATACAATACACACAATTCTTGGACGAGTACCGAGCATTAGGCTATATGAAACAAGTGACCAATTGGAGCAAGGATGAGCAAGAAGTTTTCTACTTACCTCATCATTGTGTGTTTAAAAATACGGCAGATCACTCCAAAATTCGCGTGGTATTTGATGCGTCCTGCAAGGATAGCACTGGAACATCCTTCAACGATACATTCTTGACGGGTCCAGTCACCCAACAAGATCTCATGTTCATTCTGGTCAGATTCAGAACCTTTTAATAGGCTTTTGAAGCTGACATTATTAAAATGTATCGTCAGATACTCATCCACCCTTCGCAAACTTGATATCAGCGAATCTTATGGAGAGACGACCGCACGGCAGATGTAGAAACATACGAATTAACAACTGTCACATACGGCACGTCGTCCGCATCGTTTATAGCAACAAGATGTTTGAAACAGTTGGCAGAGACGTATCACGGTAAACATCCCGTGGCAGCAACCCACATAAGAAGAGACTTTTATATGGACGATCTGCTCACGGGTGCAGATACATTAGCTCAAGCAAGGACGGTGCGCGACGAGATAATTCAATTGCTACGAGGAGGAGGTTTCGAGTTGAGCAAGTGGGCTTCTAACTGCCCCTAACTGTTGGATCAGGTGACCAAACACGATGGCGTATTGGTTCCGATAGCCGAGGATAAGGATCTTCCGTATTGGGAATCCATTGGAATCACGCCCAGGACACATTCTATTTTTCCTGCAAGACTGGCAAAAATCCAGCAGTGGTATCGAAACGCACGATTCTATCCGAGTTATTCAGTTTGTTTGATTCGTTAGGTTTAGTAGGACCTGTACTTGTATTAGCGAAATTGATCATGCAGGATCTTTGGCAGGCAGACATTCACTGGGATGAGTCGGTTCCCCCTAACATTGATCTGCGTTGGAAAAATCTGAGACTTCAATTACCAATCATAAATCAATATGCTATTCCGCGCTGCGTCCGCCACAGTACAAGGCCAGGACACACACAATTACATGGCTTTTGCGATGCGAGTGAGCGGACATACGGCGCTTGTATTTACATACGAACGCAAATCGAATCTAACAAATTTCGAGTTGAACTTCTATGCTCCAAATCCCGAGTAGCTCCCATTAAAAGCCAATTGTTGCCACGTCTCGAGCTGGCAGCAGTCGTACTGTTAGCGCAATTAGTTAACAAGACAAGCGAAGCGATCAACGTAGACAAAATACCCATATTCCTCTGGTCGGATTCAACGATAACCCTAAATTGGATTTCGTCACCATCACGCAAGTGGACAGTTTTTGTGGCCAATAGGGTCGGAGAGGTGCAGCGTCTTACGAGGGTCGATAGTTGGCGCCACGTCTCATCTGCTAATAACTCTGCCGATATACTGTGTGACGTTGCAGTTTCGCTGCAGCGTTGCAGCGCCCTGCTGCCGTCACAAGGCGCGAGTTTCGCAACCTTTTTCGCACCCCTGCCGGCACTAGACGTAAAAGAAACGTGCTATATTAGTCACAAAGTCGCAAAAAATAAGTTACGTCTTTTACACGTTGCCGCGACGTACAAAATAATTTAGGTTAAAAAGCCACACGCGCGATTGGCTATACTGCGTTCGCTTCTTGCCGCATGGCAAACGTTTCAGCATTTTGTGTGCAGAATCCATTGATAGTAAGTGCGCAAATATCTATCCATCATTCTTCGATCTCTATAAATTTAAATGTGTTTCTGTGTCTAATTTATTTATGTTATTTATTAGTTTTGGCAATTTCGCTAATCAGAGTGACAAAATCTATGAAAGAAGAAAAAAGTGTGGAAGCCCAACCTAACCTAACACACCAAACATGTAAGTAACTGTTTTCTATGCTTTTATTTTTCACGCATTATATTTTTTTTCTTGCTTTATTACTCTTTAATCTTTTGGCAAGTGTCCTCTCTGTGTCCTCATACATTATTTAATCTAACCTAACCTAGAAATTGTTAAAAAATATTTCTTTTTACTTTTTTTTATTTTGTTGATATGAAATACTTTTACATATACACATTATTATACATGTATGATCTAAACATGCTTAATAACTGTAAAAGGGGCAGAATGTGAAATTATATTTTACATGAATTTCATTATTTGTTTGTACAAGCATGCAGTCAAAATTAATATTTTGCACGTGTAGTGCTCATATAAGATATTTATTGGAAAAATAACAAATAGAATATTATATAATTATTTTTATTATACAATGTTTTTAGTCCCATAATGTCACAAACTGTGAGAAGCAGAAAATTGGTGAGCAAACTTTCACAAAAATATTTTCGCTGCCGTATGAGGAAGCTAGAAAAATATCCGTATCCTATGGAAAGAGCCAAAAGAGTCAAATTCCAAAAAGACAATAATGAAAGTGATAGAAGCAATGAAATTTGTGAAAATTGTGAAAACAACAATAACACATTTCATAATATGGAAATCATAGATGATAATAATGAAAGAGATGAACTTAATGATGATAATAATGAAAGAGATGAAGTTAATGATGATAATAATGAAAGAGATGAACTTAATGATGATAATAATGAAAGAGATGAATTTAATAGTGATAGCAGTACAACAAATAACGTTGTTGATGACATTAATATTTGTGATGCAATTGGAAATGAAATGGACAATGATTTTACTCCATCGCATTTGGCTACATGGTGTAAAACTTTAAATATACCTATGACGCATGCTGATGCATCATTGAAAGACATAAGGAAACATAAATGTTTTAGAACTATATTTCCTTCAGCTATTCGTACCATCTTAGGTACACCTAAATCTACTCAAATTAAAATTGTACCTCCAGGGGAGTATTATCATAAAGGACTTGTAAATGAATTAGTTCGAGTATTATCAAAACATAATATTGAAAATGTTAATTTAACTTTAAATATTGATGGCTTGCCATTATTTAAATCTTCAGGTCAACAACTTTGGCCAATTTTAATAAGTGTTGCAGGAATACCAGGTGAAATAATGGTAGGAGCTTATTGTGGGGAAAAAAAACCAAATGACATAAATTTATTTTTAGAAGAATTTGTCAATGAGATGAGTTATCTTATTAATAACGGTCTAGAAATAAATAATAAACTTTTGCCTGTGAAACTACAGTTATAAGTGCAGATGCTCCTGCAAAATCTTTTTTACTCTCTACTAAAGGCCATACTGGTTATGACAGTTGCTTAAAGTGTTTTATTCACGGCAAATATGTGAAAAATAGAGTATGTTTTCCTGGCACAAATGCTAATTTAAAAACTGGTATTGACTTTCAAAACAGTAATAATATTTTGCAACTTATTCTACATATTGATTTTGTTTCTGATGTAGTTCTAGATTATATGCATGTTGTTTGTTTAGGAGTTATTAAAAAGTTATTCACTTTATGGACAACTGGAAATAATTATTACAAACTTAGTCACCAAACTAAAAAAAAGAATCTCAGATAGATTAGAAAATTCAATGAATATGTCTGCAAGTTTAGAATTTTCGCGTAAACCGAGATCTTTAGAAGACTTAAAATATTACAAGGCAACCGAATTCAGACAATTGCTTTTATATACAGGGCCTATAGTTTTGCAAGGACTTTTAGATAAAGATATATATTTAAATTTTTTAGTCTTACATGTAGCTTTGAGGATTTTGTGCATGGAAAATGCCAGCGAAGAAATGATTACTTATGCTGAAAAACTAATAAAAAATTTCAATGAAACTTTTACTATATTATACGGTGAAGAAAATGTGTCTTTTAATGTTCATGCTCTTTTACATTTAGCAAATAACGTTCGCAAACATGGACCACTTGATTCTTTCTCTGTCTTTCGTTTTGAAAATTTTTTTCAAACAATTAAAAGTCTCATACGTAAACCTCAACATATATTAGCTTAATTACACCGCCGATATGTGGAAATACATAATACAGATATCAACAAAAAAAATATAAGAAAAAATACGTTTGACATTTTGCAAGAGTCGCTTCATGAAAATGGTCCTCTTTTATCTGATTGTGGCGACCCACAATATAGCAAAATTGTAGGATTTGGTTTTACGTTAATAGCTGAGGATAGAAGAGACAATTGTTTCTTGACCCATGACGGAACTATAGTTGTACTTAGAAATATTGCCTTTAATAGAATAACTAATTCTTTAGTCATAATAGGACAATATTTTACTGTCGTGGAAGATTTGTATACTCGCCCTTGCAAATCACAACTAGTTGGGATTTACCTTGTATCTAAACTTTCCGGTCTGAAGCAATGGCCTCTTAAGGGTACTATTACAAATAAATGTTTCATAGTACCGTGGAAAAGAAATAAAAATGTTGTTATATCTTTATTACATTCTAATAAATAAAAAGAAATAAAAATAACATAAACATTAAAAAAAAATAACATAAAAATTAAAAAAAATAACATAAAAATACATAAAAATACATAAAAATACATAAAAATACATAAAAATACATAAAAATACATAAAAATACATAAAAATATGTATAAAAAATATAAAAATTTTATGGTACGTTATATATATATATATATTATATATATATATATATATTGATTTACATATTCATTTTTGTAATATTATATTTTTCTTCTATATTTGTTGAAAAATATTGATTTATATATTTGTTTTTTTTCAGTTTATTATAATAATGGACAACTTAACGATAGACAATGGATTGTTTTATGTAATCGAATTTTATGATGGAATCCAGATCATTCCAGATAAGTGGGTTATCGAAAATGAAATGCTAGCATACTGGCCGAAAGTAAAATCAGATAAAGATTTTGATACTATCGTTTATACAAGAAGTTCTATAAAAGATGATTGGTCATTAGAACCAATAAAAACAATTTTATATAAAACAGGTTTATATTAATCATTGGCTGCTTTTTTATTTTCAATCTTCCTATTAACAATGTTTTTTTCTATTTTTAATCTCGTTTTTTATTTTTTTATTTTTTTACAAAAATAAATATTGCTAATAAAATGTTTTTTTTTAATTTTCAGGTTCATTTTCAAATGCCAAAATTAAATTAAAAAAAGCGGAGTATGAAAGCGATATTGACTCACCATATAATACAGATGAAAAAAAGAAAAAAAGGAGAGATAACGCTAAAATACAATTTAGTGATAATAGTGAACAACAGAGTGAACAACAGAGTCGTGGAAAAAAAAAAAAATAAAACCCCAAAAAACGAATTTACCGTCACTTCCTGAAGTGCCAATTGCTGGTACAGGCTGCTGTTAAAACTGCATTATGAATGCTTCAAAATATTATTTTATATACTTTTGTTTCACATTTGAGAAGAAAAAAAATAGAATGATGTTTCGAAATTGTTTCGATTTTGTAGTGCAGTAGCAGTTTTGACCGCAGTCATAATGTAGCTAATATATATCAAACAATTTTTTTCAGTTGCCTCAGCCGCCACATATAGTAAAACTGATGTAACGGACAACTCTTCTTCAGTTACAT